AATATTGAGCTTGTTGTTGAGAATATATGATTGTTAGAATGTTGTTGTTGAGATATGTGCTTGTAAATTGTGAACTGTTAGGTTGGGCTGGTTTTTATACAGATTGTAGTTGTGAAGGTTCGGTTGGGGTGTAAGGAGTACTTGTATTCTATCCCCTTAGCTCGTGTTTAGAGGTTTACTTGTTGAGTACCGTGTGGTTTGGTACTCACCCCTTGCTTCTACAAATTTTTGTAGGTTACGAGCCTGGATTTTTGTGGTACTTGTTATTCTCTTCTTTTTCGAGGCTTCTGGAGATTTGTGAGGTAGTTGTTTGTCTTCTCAACGATCCTTCTTACTCCTGTTTATGATCTTGTTCTACTCTAGAAACAATGTCATATGAGACTTGTATTTTCTTTTGATTCAATTGTAATAATTTAGAGACTTGTACACGTGACAACCAGATTTTGGGGGTATATTTGAGTTTATTATAAAAATTTCCACATTTTATTGTAATGGTTGAGTTTTAGGCTGACTTGTCTTAGTGGGTTAAGACGAGTGCCATCACGTCCATTTTTGGGTCGTGACAACAATACTCATGTTATATACCTAGTTATTGTCGTATACTACCTTGAGGTTGTAGAAGAAATTCGTAAACTTCAAATTTTGACATTATGTAAAGGCTGACGTACATAGTACATATATATTCTTCGAACATAATATTATTTATTTTACACGCTAGCTAGCACTATCCAATATTTTCAAATACTCATCACACAAGAACAAACACACAAACACACAAACACACAAACACATATATATTTGTATGTATAGGACCATTGAACATCATAGATTTTCTAATTCTCAAGAAGGTGACCCTCTATATCCTTGATCACACCAATGCAATAATCCAAGAGAGCAAGAGGTTCTGGGATATCTTCGGTTTTCTTCTCATACACAAGTGCATATGTAATCCATTGATGTTCAGAGGATATAATAACATTGAAGGAATTATACAAATCTAACAAATTTCCTTCAATCGCATTCCAAGTGATTGAATTCTTCTGAGGATCGATGGCTTCAATCACAGTCTTAACAAACATTTCTTTTCCATCTATTCATTAAAGATAAAAAAATACAATAGATGTTACTCCCAATTCAAATGTTCAAATTCTTTATTTTATTTTCCCTCTTTTATTATTTTCATTTTAATAAAAATGATCTAATGCTCGTGAAGATTAGAATGATGGCTGAAGTAATTTTCCATGAAAAAATACATCAAATGTTATTCAAAGTTCTTATCGTTTGACTCTAAGAAAAGGAAAACATGACAATTAAAAGTGGAAGGAGGGAGTAATCAACACCATTAACTAACTTTTTCATGAAAAAGATTTTCTTGGATAGGAGAATTACTTTCGAAATATGAAATACACCTAAATGTGGAAAATTGATTCAATAAATATTGCGAGAAAGAGAGGAGAGAAATGTGTGTGCTACCTTCGTAATATTTCCAGCTAGCAACCGAATCAATTTTTCCTTTTTCACCTTTATGAATCTCAAAATGCTTGACTCTACTAGGGCTTATGTTGGGTATTAGTGTGGAAAATATCATGAACGGAATGTCCTCCACACTTAGAAACAATCAACTTACATTTTAGGCCCATCAATGAGTTGCGAAAGGCAAGTGGTAAGAAAATGTATAAAACTTATACCTCTTATATACATTTTAATTAATATAAAATATTATTCACCACATATCTATATCACATAGTGGCGGTGTTAATTAAATTGTGCATAAGTAGGTTTTAGTTTAGTTATAAATTTATTATGATATTTTACCATGATAATTGAAATATGATGACAATACGATTATAAATAATCAGGTATATTTATTTTTATGTAACCGTAATTTAATTTTTTTTTTATTGATGGTGATCACTTTTGGTATCAACAGTCTTGCTTCTTTTTCGATCAAATCTTGATTTCATTTTGCTAGCTTCTCCTGATCATAGAGCCAGATCGAGTCAATTGTTTTAATTCCCTGCCCCAATCCTATCACTTTGTTCTTCTTCTCATGTACCCTCGCTTCAATGAAGACACTCGATCAACCCGACTTTCCCAAGTGCCCCCACCAGCCCTTATCCTTTACGAGTCTAAATTAATTACTTCGGTAAACATTATAAATCATCTTTGCCAAACAAGTGAATAATGTTACAAATAAAAAAATATTCTGTTGGAAAACTATATGCACAACGGAAGCATACCAGAATCATATTACTTACATGAATAATAAATAACCAATATATGTTTATGCTAGAACATATATAATCATGTTAGAACACATAAACTTGCTGAAATTTAATTCAGGAATTACCACTTGAAGATTGAGAAAATACCTTCAAGCGAATCTACATGGTAGATAACATGTCAGTGGTCTTCTACAGTGATCCTAAGTTCACATTCGAACTCTCTCAATACTTAGGTGGGCAAGTATCGTATAGAAAACAGATTCTTTTTTTTTGGGTTAGAAAAATTCCTACTTATAGAGATTTCTTCCTAATCCAAAAATGAGAAGAAAACCCATTAAATTAAGCATTATTGAAGTATATAAAACCGGTTAAGTCATATGCGTCCCTTTAAATGAAAGTTGTCCGCATATTTCACTTAGACACCCCAATGTAGCCTCGTACCTATAGTACACTTAAATCTTAACAAATTTATACCTATTTGACCCAAAATAATAATCAATAAAAAGACAAACATGTGTACTTCTCAAACACATTATCACACCAAATGGACCAATGAAATGATTACACGTGTTGATTGGATTAATTTTTTAAAAAAACTTTATATAAATAATTCAAAAGGAATTTTAAAAACAAAAACTAAAAATTCTTAACTAACTTTTTTCATGGAATTAATAAATTTTCTCGAGTTATGACTTTCGTAATATGAAATACACTTAAATATATAAAATTGATGCAAGAAAATAATATTGCGAGAAAGAGAGAAGAAAACTGTGTGTGTTACCTTCATAATATTTCCAGCTAACAATCGAACCAATTTTTCCAATTTCACCTTCATGAATCTCGAAATGTTTGAGTCTGCTAGGGCTTATATTGGTTAGATGATGAGTATTAGTGTGGAAAAAATCATGAACCGAATGTCCTCCACACGTCACCTC